GGCAGCTGAGGTAATCAAGAGGGGTGACACTTGAAGGTCCCAGACCCCAGGGCCCAGTGACAGTTCTTTCCTGGAAGGGGGATCTGCCCTTAGGCCAGAGGTGCTTTTTGGTCCACTTACAGTCACAGCTGGGCAGGGGATACCAAATGACTCGCAAGTAGGTCAGCCAGGAGCAGGACACTTTCCTCCCTCCCCCAGGGGTGACAGTAGCCCTAACCTCCTCCTGACATCAGGGTGCACTTCCCTGCAGGGATGCTGCCTCCGCTTCGAGACTTGCGGGGCTCTGGACACAAGGAGCCCAAAGTGCTAGTGATAGCCACACGTAGCAATGGCTTAGTGGACTTCTGCCATGTCCCCTGGGGGCTCTGATCCTGCGGTGAGTGAAGGCTTGGGGGGCACCGGCCCCCAGATGGATTTTTGGGAGGATGGTGAGTGCGGCTGTTCCCGCTGCCACCCCTGGCGTCCTTGGCCCATGAGGTCTTCCTCTTGGGGACATGGCACCATGGGAAGCACTTCGGTTCGGTTGTGTGTGTGGGGGGCCTGGGGGATGGCTCCCCATCCACACCGTCTCTGAGCGTCTCTTTCTTCGGTGGGCGGCAGCTTGTGGGTGGTAGAGGGCGATGTGACCAGCGGCTCCCGTGGGTCTGGGCCCACCCTCCCACCTCTTCCACTGTCTCAGTGAGGTTACGTGGAATGCCACGCAGAGGACACGCTCTGTGAGCACTTGGATGGTGGCAGTCTCTGAGGCCCTGCGGACAGGAGGGCAAACCTGTACCTGGAATGTGGCCCCCATGAGAACAAACCGCTGGCACCCCTGGGTGGAGGGAGCCCGTCACCGCCACCCTGCTCCCACCCCTGGGGAGCAGCGCCAGAGAGGAGCTGGGGCCTGGGCCTCCCGGCCAGCTGCAGGATCGACCTTGGGAGGTGGGATTGTGCTGCTGGCTCTTGCAGAACCTCCATCTCTGCTACCGTGGCTATTTTGTTCTTGGCCCTTTGTGCCAGCCCTGGGTGGTGGCAGACGGGGCCAACCAACATCAAGTGATGGAGTCCTCTTGTCACTTAGTTGACAAATTTGTCACCTGTGGTGGACGTTGTCTGCCGGGTGACAGCACGTGCTACGGTGATCTCCACACTTCGTGGACAGTCCGCCCACATGCCTCCTCCCCAGACTTCCTCGCCCTCCATCTTCCAGTCTTTCTTCTTACAGGTCCTTGACCAGCCCAGCCAGGCCCCTGGCCATCGCCCATGAGTCTGTATATACTCTAACCTTGGGCTACTGCTCTGTCGACACACAGATGACCAGGTGCACTGCCGGAGTGAATCTGTAATGCAACTGCATCCATTTATGGCTTGCACTGACCCATCCAACAGCCAAGCTCAGGCTTTTACTCCATTCTTCAGCTATTTTTATGGGATCCTGCCTACAGCCATAAGTGTGATCTGAGGACGACAGGGCATGGTGACACAGAGGTGACAATGATGTAATGCATCAGTGTGATATTACGTGGAATGTCTATAGACAGTGTAGAGCTCTTCACACTACATTTTGTCAGCGGGTGGAGAGCTAACACAGCCTTGGGCTATGAGTACCGTTCATATAAATGAATATTGTCATCCATCCACGTCAATGCAAACTGATCAGAAGAGAAAAGAACGCGTTTCCCCAATCCTGGTCCACCTACCATGCACCTGAAGACTTATTATTCTGCTCTGGCAAAGACACCACAGCTGCCGAGGCAGCTGCAGTTGGGACCGCTTCCTGGTCGAGTTCATGGTGGTCTGTCGCCGTCTCCCAGCCTCAGCTGGTGAAGTAGAGAGGGATGAGGACCACCGCCACTGCATCCTTTGGATCCATGATGCTCCACCCTCCTCTGGATGCAGTACTGCCTGGCTGAGGAGGGGCAGTATCCCAGGCTCCCCCCGGCGTCCTCCACTACGGTAGCTCCTACCCCAGGCCAAGGACCCAGTACGGGGGTGTGCCAACTTCTGAGTGCGTCCACCCCAATTACATGTTCAGGGACCAGGCGAATGTGGACCCTAGGCCAGCACTCTGTTTATTGTCTGGTCCCTGTAGGCCCCGCACACGCAGCAGGGCAGTGATGACGCTTCTGGTCCCCATGTCTCAGTGCCGGCTCTGACCCCTGAAACGCCTGGGTCTTCCTCTTTCCCGAGCGTACCATTACCTGAGTAAATGGGCACTGGTCCCTTTGGGGGAGGGCTGGGGCTCACAGTGTGTTGCCGGGGACCTGGTCACGTCTTCAGTTATCTGGGTCCCGGAGACTGAGCAAAGGGACCACCTGAGATCAGGGTGACTGATGATCGTCCACCCCCTGTCTTGTGACGGTGTAGGGTGACTACTAGCCTTGTATCGCCCCCACCTCACACCCTGAGCTGACTCCGTGGGCACTGTGGAGCGAAAAGGGCCCATCACAGCTGTCCTGCGTTGGGCTGAAAAGGCCTGGCCTTTACACAGCTGCCTCCGCCAGTCACTGGGGGTGGGCCGCCCTGGGGAGGGCGTGCAGACGCCGCAGGAGGCCCCAGTGGAAGGCTCTCTGCTAATGGCGTTGCCAGCGGCTGGGACAACCAGTCCTTTCTTGAAGGGGTCTGGGTGGCACATCCCAGAGTCTTTGGAGAAGCCAGCGTGGTTGATGGAGTGGGTTCCTGAGGACGTGAAGGAGGAGAGGGTCAGAGCCCAGGGGAAGAGATCAGCCTGGGACAAGGGGAGGGGCATCTCCTGCTTAATGAGGGGGAGAAGGAGGTAAGAGTGGGGTCACACGAAGGTAAGGGTGTGAGAGGAGGGACAAGGATTTGGGGAAATCGAGCCCGATGACCTCTGTTTTCTTTGTAAACTCAGAAGCTGGGCATCGGCTGAATGTGGGCTTGGGTAGGGTTAGGACTTGAGGAGAAAAGCCCTCAAGGTAAATGAGAGGATGCAGTCTGGGGACCACAGGACAGTGTGTTGAGGGGCAGCTGGTGATGGGGGGCCTGGAGGTTGTGAGCCCTGCCTGCTGGGTCACGTGGCTTCCGCAGCGGTCATCTGAGCCCGCCGGAGGAGCAGAGAGGAGCGTGCTCCCACTTGTGCTGGGCAGGTGTCGGGGAGAACAGGGGGCAACAGGGTGTTAGCTTGTTGCCTTACTTTCCCCAGACAGCTCTTCAAGGCTCTTTAGAGAGAAACTCTCTGTTTTAAAAATGGTGTTTGTCTTCTAAGGGAACAAAGCATTAGAGGGTATTAGAGTTGATGTGTGGGTGACATCACCTGCTCCGTCAGTCCAGTTCATCCATTTATTCTTTTATGGATCATGCTTTTGGTATTTTATTGTGAAATCTTTGTCTGTTTAAAGGTCACAAAGGTTTTCTCCTACGTTTTCTTCTGGAAGTTTTACAGTTTTAGGTTTCATGTTTAGGTCTCTGAACCATTTTGAGTTCACTCTTGCGTATGGTGTGAAGTGTAAACTGAGGTTCATTAATAATTAAGGAAATGCAAATTAAAATCATGTTGAAATAGTCCTTAGAATGGCTAAAATGAACTCATACTCTGCTGATGGGAAATACAAGGGCACAGTCACTGTGGAAACAGCTTGTCAGGTTCTTAAAAAGTTACACATGGTACAACCATTCTGCTCCTAGGTCTTTAACTACAAGAAATGAAAGCATATGTTCATAGAGACTTGTACAGACATGTTCATGGCGGCTTGACTGCAATATCCCCACACTGAAAACAGCCCAAATGGGCATCAGCACGTGAGGGATAAACAAGCAGTGGTGCGCCCACCCAGCAGAATGCTGGTCATCAATGCAAAGGAACAAATGACACATGCAACAACCTGGATGAATCTCAAAATAATTGTGATGAGTGAAAAGGCAGACCCAAAATTATACCTACTGTACAGTCTATTTACATAAAGCTCTAGAAAATGCAAACTAGTGACCAAGTACGGCACAGTGTTTGGGGGAGGCAGGAGGGGTTGCAAGGGGCTTGAGGAAGCCTCTGGGGGTGATGGACATGTACATTCTCTTCGTTGTGGGGATGGTTTCGTGAGTTACACACGTGTCACAACTTCAATTCGTATACTTTAAATAGTGCAGTTATTGTAGGTTAATTATACCTTAATAAAGCTGTTAGAAACTTGACCTGAAAATTAAGTACATAATTGAATCATTGATAATTAGCGAAGGGAACAAACTTTTAACAATACTTACTCTCTTAAATGTCAATTTAGTCAACTTAGATCTATTAGAGATTTAAAAAGCATAGCTCTGATAGTTCTGACATAAAACCCAACAGTCAGTTGTAACAGAATCTGACAAAAATGGGCGCTGTGTGCGTTTACCACAGACACTGTCTCTCAACACACTGAAGCCTTCCTATGTCGACTCCGAGTGTCCCAGAGTGACTACAAGTCAAGGTCCCCAGCAGGGATGACAGTGGCCCCCTTTCACCTGCTTCCCACGCCTCTGAGAGGCGCCCGTTCTTACTTCCACTTTGCAGATGGGGAGACTGAGGCTCAGGGGTTGAACGGTTTAGCCAAGGCCCACGCTTGTACAGGGCATCAGCTCAGGGGTCTGGGTCCAAAGGCGTGCCAACCCACCCCCCTAACTCAGTCCATGCAATTTTCCTTTCTACGGCTTTCCCCAGTATCGCTGCCATCCTCACGGCTAGCTCGAGCACGCGGAGGAGGCGGCCTTGAGTGCTTGCGGCACCGACTGAACAGCGCTGCCCTCTGCTGGGCGGCGCGTCTCCGCCAGGTAAGACGCTCCCACAAGTCTACACTGCTGTCCGCAAGGACGCCGGCCCGCCCCCGCCCCGCCCACTCTCGGGACCCGCCCCTCCGGCGGCCCACCTGGGCCTCGCCCTTCCCCGGAAAGCCCCGCCCACACCGGGATCCGCCCCCCGCCCACTCTCGAGCCCCCGCCCCAGGCCCCGCCCCACCTCGGGATAGAAAACGAAGGCGCGCTCGACCTCTCGGCGCTCGCCTGCTCGGGTCTGGCGGCGGCGCGGCTGGGCCGGGTCGGGCGCGTGCGGCGGGGCCTCCGGGCGGCATGGAGGGGCCGGGGGCTGCTGCGCGGGGGAACGTCACCCTGCACAACTTCAGCGCGAGGCTGTGGGAGCAGCTCGTCCACTTCCACGTCATGCGGCTGACGGACTCGCTTTTCCTGTGGGTGGGGGCCACGCCGCACCTGCGCAACCTCTCCGTGGCCATGTGCACCCGCTACGTGAGTGCGGCCGGAGGGCTGTGGGTGGGTAGAGGGGCCGGGGGGGAGGTAGCGGCGCGGGGTCCGGGAGGGGGCGGAGGGGGCTAGGCATGCGGGGGAGGGATGGGGTCTCGGAGGCCGGGCCGGTGGGGGCCGGACGGTGACCGACGGCCTCAGGCGCCCGCCCCGTGCCCACCAAGTGCCCGCCGGGGAGACCGCGGATTCGGCGGCCCCCCAGGGCTGTCCCGGGTCGGGGAGGGGAGCTTGGGGCTCCCCGGGACCGGGGTCGAAGAGGGTTGCGCTGCCCACCCGGGGAGAGCTGCGTCCCGCCGCTCGGCTGGTCGTCCTCCATCTCTGGTTAGAGTGTCAGGGCTCCCTCGTGGGACCTCTGCTGTCCGCTCACACTCGCCCTGGGGGGTGGCATCTGTCCCTGTTTTTCTTGCCGGCTCCCTGTTGACCACATTTATTTACGTTTCCGGCCCAGACCTCTTTCCCGCTCTTCCTCTCCTCTCCCCCGTCTCGCTGGCGATTGTAACAGGCAGCTGTCCCTCGGCATTCCAGGCTCCGGCCCTGCTCCTCCAGCAGCCAGCCCCTTTCTGTTACAGCAGCTCCGTCCCAACCTTGGGGTCATCTTTGGATCCCCTCTCCCACGCTCCACGCGCCCAGTGTCAGTGAAGCAGCAGGCACTGCTGTCAGCAGAACCTGCAGAATCCAGCCTCTCCTCACCTGCCGCCTGGGCCAAGCTGCATCTCTCGTGGCGGCTGAGGCCCCCTTTGCCACGTTATAGGTTTCTCAGAGCTGCTGTTGCAAAGTGCCACAGGCTGGGTGGCTGAAAACAACAGGCTGATTCCCTCCCAGATCTGGAGGCCAGAGTCTGAATCAAGGTGTCAGCAGGGCTGGTTCCTCCCGGAGGCTCTGGGGGAGAAGTCGCCCCATCTCTGGGGGAGAAGTCGTCCCGTCTCTGGGCTTCCGGTGCTGCTGGCAGCCTCGTCACGCCCAGTCCTGCTGCCAGTGCACAGGCCTTCTCCTCTGTGTGCCTCTGTCTCTTCCCTTCTTCTGAAGACACCAGTCCTACTGGATGAAGGGTCCTTCTCACCTTAACTTACATCTCAATTACATCTGCAAAGGCCCTATTTCCAAATAAAGTCACCTGCACAGGTGCCAGGGGTTAGGACCTGGACGTACCTTTTGGAGGTCGTGGCTTAGCCCTCGGCGCTGCCTTACGGCCAGTCCCCCCTGGGCTGCAGTCAGTATCGTCATTCCTCTGCTCAGACCTTCCGAGAGTCCAGAGCCCGCACTGACCTGCAGGCCCCGTCAGCTGCTGGGGCGCCCCTGCCCCCCTGTCTGTGCCCCACTCGCCCCTCTGGGCTGCTCCAGCCTTTCACCGGGCAGGCCTGCCTGCTGCCAGGAGAGGCTGCACAGCTAGGGCGACACAGGCCCACTGCAGGGGGAGGCCGGCCTGGGACAGGAAGGGGGGCCATGGGACGCTGGGTGCTCAGGTGATCCAGGAGCATCGGGCCTTGCAGGTGGGGCAGGACTGCTCTTTGTTTTCCTTGCAGGACCCCATCCCTGTGTCCACTGCCCTCCTTGGGGACATGTCCGACACGACGTCCACAGGCCTCGCCCAGCGCTTAGGTAGGTCCTGCAGCTTAGCTGCCCGAGTGCCTGGGTGGGGACCTCGTTGTTCAGCGGAGCCAGGAGGCGAGTCGCTGGAGGAGGAAGACTGTCTGGGAGGCAGACCCCCGGTCTCTGCGGGAAGGAAGGCCTTGTACACTGGGCTTTTCAGGAGCTGACCTGGTACTAGCACTGCTCGGGGCTTGTGCTGCCCACGGGCTCCCGTGTTGCCCTGGCTGCCGTCCAGGCCGACCAGTGACAGGTGATCTTCTCCTCCTCGTGGGAGGAGAGGGCGAGTGATGCCCACGGTGCCTAGTGGGTGGCGGCTCCAGGTAGCCTCCAGGGGTTCGGTGGGGCCCCGCGGAGCAGGAGGGACCGCCCTTCGCCGCAGGTGATGTCGCTCAGAGCTCAGAAGGGTGATGGCCTGGCCTAGGGTGGCCCGAAAGGGTGTCAGGCAGGGCCCCGAGGTTGAGGGCTCCAGCCCCCCTGCACCCAAAACACGTGTCCTGCAGGATGCCCAGGTGGTTCAGGTAAAGGTGCCCCCAGCTGGTACCCATGACTGCCGGGTGGTCCCAGGCGCCGGGGACCTCGACCGGCAGGGCCACCTTGCCTCCCGTCTGGCCTTGGTGTTCAGTGTCCTGGCCACGTGCGGAGCCCTGGGTCCCGGCTGGGGGGTGGCGATGAGGCCGGGCCCCGATTTGAGGAGCTTATTTTGCAGTTGTGTCGATGGTCCTGTCAGCCTCATCTCCGGGGAGTGGGGACGTGTGTGTCAGTCGCTCCGGGACGCACGCATGCGGACAGCGCGGCCACGCGCTGGTGGAGGCACTGCCAGTGAGTCGAGGGCCAGGGCTGGCACAGGTGGCCCACAGGTCGCACGAGACGGGGCAGAGACCTGGCGGCTACGTCTCGGGGACGTCCACCACACTTGTCCTTTAGCCTGAAGCTAGAGCAGCCTGGCTAGTAAGTTATTTTGGTAACTTTTTATGAGGAAGCAATTTAAAATTTACAGAAAAGCCACAGGAGAGATATAAAGGATTCTTGCCTAGCCTTCGCCCGGACTCCCAGGCGCTATCATTCCTGCTCTGCGTTTGAGCTGCTGGTTTTTTGTGACCCACGGAGAGCAGGTGGAAGACCTGATGCCCCTTTGCTTCACTGCGTATTTGCCAGCGTTTCGGGGTGACGCAACCCCAGCAGGCAGGCCCCCGGGCCTGGTGGAGGAGGGAGGGAGGCTGCTGGTTTGTGGAGCTGGGACCTGTGGGTCCCCCCAGTGTGGACTGAGTCCAGAAGAGGAGGGCGGCGGGAGCTCGTTTGATGAGCCACGAATTACCTGGTTATTCCAGTGAAGGGAGATGGGCTCCCGGTGTCCTTGAGATGAGGCCTGGAAGCAGTTTGTGTGCGAAAACTAGGGTTCTTTTCCTTTTTGGGGGCATTTTGTGCAAACGTTGGCACTCTTTTTAACATTCTCTCACGTGGCTTACGTTGATTTATAATCTGCATAATTTGAAACAACACAGACCAAAAAATACATTCTTTCTAACTTAACCAAAGTCAGACGTTAATGGAGGCTCCCACCTTCCCGTATCGGCAAGCCCGGCAGCCCTCGGCCACCGCCCAGCAGGGACGGGCACACGTGGTGAGATGCCAGCACCCCAGGGGGACAGGCGACGTGTGTGCTGAGGCCACAGAGGCCCGTTCCGCAGGGAGGTCACCTGCAGTTGAGAATGCGTTATTAACCGTCGTTAGTTGTCTGGAGGGGGCCGAGAAGAGACAGGTGCCCCGAGACAGTGTCTTGTGTGGAAGAGGTGAACGGCCTAGGGGCGCTGGGGGCTTCGGTGTGGATGGGGACCCCCTGCCCTGTGTGGCGGTGGGGCTGCCGGGTGGACCGTGCAGGCGGGATGGTTCTTGGCTCGCGGAGGGACTGGAATCAGTGGCCCCGGGGGCCGGGGACTTTCCTGCCACCGAATGCAGGCAGGCTGAGCAGCTGTGGCTCGACTGCCCCAGCTCTCCCCCGTCCCCACCTCTTTGCCTTTGCCGATGGGACTGACATAGCCCCTGACTTCGGTGGGGGGAGGAGGGGCTTGCACCCGCCCCCTGTGGGATGGGGCCCAGGGAGGAGCTATTTCACCGGAAGGGGAAGAGGGGACCGGTACCGCCTGGCTCGTCTTCGGGACCTGTCCTGTCTTCAGGTTATGGGTGTGTAACTGCGCGTGCTTTTGGCAGTTGGAGCAGCTCACGTCAGCCATGAATGGTGCCGCAGAAAGGAGCTAAAACACGTCTCTCACATCGCGTTGAGTAATCGTGCGTGTGTGCGCACGCGCCTGCACGTGTGCGTGTGTAGGAACGCCGGCTCCCCTCTGTGGGCAGGGGAGTTGCTGGAGGGGGCGGTTCTGAAGTATAGATAGATTTTTTGGGGCCGTGCCCCGCTGCTCGCGGGATCTTAGTTCCCCGACTGGGGATTGAACCCAGGCCCTCGGCGGTGGAGGCGTGGAGTCCTAACCACTGGACCGCCAGGGAAGTCCCAGGACCTTAGTGTTTTAAATACTTGCACGTGATCTGTGCTTTCTAAAAAGCGGCACAACCAGCCAGCCCTGTGTGCAGAGCGGTGGGACTCAGACGGTAGAGTCTGAGAGCAGACTCGGTGGGTCTGGGCGGGCCGAGGGTCTGCATCTCCCACGAGGTCCCGGCACTGTGGCCACGGGGACGGGGCTTTCAGAACTGCTGTTCGGTGCCTGTAGTCTGGTCTGCAGCAATTGCCCGTTGACACCACAGGTGTCAGCTCGTTTCTCTCCCTGGAGGCCCGCCTTCCCCTTCCAGGCCTTTCCCCGCTTCTCTCCCTGGAGGCCCGCCTTCCCCTTCCAGGCCTTTCCCCGCTTCTCTCCCTGGAGGCCCGCCTTCCCCTTCCAGGCCTTTCCCTGCTTCTCTCCCTGGAAGCCCGCCTTCCCCTTCCAGGCCTTTCCCCACTTCGTTTCTCTCCCTGGAGGCCCGCCTTCCCCTTCCAGGCCTTTCCCTGCTTCGTTTCTCTCCATGGAGGCCCGCCTTCCCCTTCCAGGCCTTTCCCCGCAGTGGGTTGCACGTGTCCGTGTGCTTTCTCTCGTTTCAGCCAGGAAGACCAGCAAACAGGTGTTTGTCAGCTATAACCTTCCAAACACCGACAGCAGCTTCACGTTGCTGGTAGAAAACAGAATCAAGGAGGAAATGGAGGCCTTTCCCGAGAAGTTCTAGCCGAGGCGGCAGCAAGGACGCAGATGCGTGCGCCCGGACGGACGTCTGAATAAACGCGTGGGGTCTCACCAGCCGTCAGCAGGGTCATGCGTGACATTTGTTTTTAAAGGGTTGGTCTTCCCGCCGTCACTGGAGTTGGGCCCCAGGGCTGCACCTGCAGGAGGAGGCAGGAGAAGGGCAGGGAAGGTTCCTTGCGGTCCTGGGGGGAGGGGTTCGGGGCCGTTGTGGGATGGAGGGGAAATCAGTCACGACCCCATCAGGCCCATCTTGTCACGACCGGGGCCTGAGGCCCGAGGCCTGTGAGGTCCTTCTGTCGTGTGTCCCCACGTCCTGCCACTCCCCGAGTCTCACTTCTCTGGGTGCTGTTTCCTCACCTGTGAAGTGGGATGGTCTCACCTGGCTGGGTTATTGCTGGAAATGCTTTGCAAACCCCGGTGCCGTGGCCCCTAGGACCTGGGTCATGGTTTTACCCTTTTTGTTGAATGGATCCGAGTGTGTCAGCCCCTCCCTGGGCTTCCTGCTGCCCTGTCTGTCCTTCCGTCCCCTCTTTCCTCCAAGTCGCAGGCCCCTGCTACGTCGTCTTAATCCTTGGCCTTTTCCTGCCGCTTCAGGTGGAGTCCAGCCTTTCTGGTACGTGCACTCCTTTCCAGAAGCCAGTGTTGCTCAGGTCAGTGGCTCTTAACTGGTCGAATTGCTGGCAGAGCTTTTACAGGTTCCCTTCCCCAGACTCAGGAGGCCGGAGGCCCAGGTTTTGTGGGGTTGGAAAGCCCCCCACGTGCTTCTCAGCACAGCCAAGGCCGAGAACTACAGGCGAAGGACTCTCTGATCTTTGGGGTCCACGTGGACCCCTTTTGTCAGGAGAGGCGGGTGGTTTCGGGCCCTGTGACACGGTTCACGCGATGGGTGGCAAGCCCTGTGTCGAGCCAGTGCGGGCAGCCAGAGCGGTGACACTTTGGCCGGGATGGAAAGGCCCTTCCGGGGACCAGGTCTGGGGCTCAGGACGCTAACCTGCAAGGCCCCGGCCGGTTGTGGTTTGGAAGCACAGCGGGCACCTTTCTAGGAAGAGCAGGTAACGCAAATCAGGGCTATGGAGAGGAGAGTTTGGTATAAATACTTTATTAAAGAAATATTGCTTTCTTGTTAAAAAATACTACATTAAAGAGAGCTCTGGGTTCTCAGTCTCTCCTGACCGAATCACAGTGTGAGAATCGTTTCTTCTCTAGGAACCTTCAGGCCACGGATTAGATTAGCAGGACATCCACACACAAGAGAAAATAACTCTGAAATCTGCTGTTGCCCCCCATTTCTCGGGGTCTACGAACGGCAGTTTGATGTTTCCTCTGCCTCTGCCCGCCTTTACGATGGGGAATCTGCAGGCAGAGAAGCCCCCCGCGGTCCCCCGGGGGCAGAGCCGAGGCTGGGCTTACACAGGCGCTAAAGTAGGGACACAGCGAGACCTGAATCAACAGAGTTTATTACTCGTAGCTAGTGGTCATGAAATGCCCTTCACTGGATACCATCAGATGAGGTAGGGAAGACATTGCAGAGGAAGTTTGTTAATGGGGCAACATTTTTATTTCTGTACATTTACATACAAATCTCCCCCCAGGGTACAACAGCTGTGATGTCATGCAGACAGGAACGTGGAAGGACAGGCCAGGACTGGGTGCAGGTTTGTGCTGGGAGCAGGCACCTCCAGGCGTCCCATCCGTACGCAGGCCACATGGTTCTCACACAGAAACCTCCAGCCCGGGGCTGCTGGGCCACCAGGGCACCCCCAGCGGCACGGAGGCTGCACCGCGTCGCCACCACCCTGTGGCCCAGGGGCTTGTCCTTTCGCGGCGCCTCAGCCGCCCTCGTGTGGCGCCAGGAAGTGGTATTTGCGGGCAGTACTTCCTCTGGGCGGTTTCTTTCTCTTGCTGTTCTGTGGCCGGACCAGCTTGCCAGCCCCCATGCCCCTAGTTGCAAGTGGTCATATAGTCTTTCAGAAAACTTTTACTGTGTGTTTTGGGTGCTAACAGGCAGGGTATCGGGTGAGTTGTTACTGGTTTCCAGACAGGAACAGAAGGCAGGAGGATCACGTTTGTGCCTGACTCGTTGGAAGGGGGTCCCGGCTCCCGGGGGGCTGGGACTGAGGGTGTGGCGTGATGCCAGAGGAGGAGCTGGACCTTCCCGGGCAGCGGGCTGGGTGAGCCGGGCGGCGAACGTGCAGCGGCAGGTGCCTGAGAAGTGTCTCTCCACTAAGCACGGAGGGACCTGGGCTGTGGGGTCCACGCGTGAGCATGGGGGTCTCACGGAGCAAGGCAGGACCGGCCCCGGCTGGGCTTGGGGCTGCCTCGCCCGCGTGGTGTGGGGGTCTCACGGGGCTCGGCCCACAGGAAGCTTTTCTGCTTTGGCCACACTCACAGCTGTCCCTCAGGGGACCAGCCTGACCCAGGGCCGCAGGAGGGGGCACGGAGGAGCCAGGAACCTCCCCCTCCCTCACACCTGCTGGGCTTTGGTCCCGGGAGCCCCGCCCTCGCAGCCAGCTTCTCTTCTAGTCTACGAGCTAATCCTGACCACTGCGGTCACAGTGCTGGGCTCCGTGGGACCAGGGTCTACTGTTGTCACTTAAGATGGACCTCGGACTTTGGAACAGGGGTCTGGGAGTGCTGTGCCCGCCTTCCTGGAGGTGCCGGCTGCCCCCTGCGGCTTGAGCATGATCCCTAAAGGTCTACACGGCCAGCAGGAGGGCACACACAGCCTGGGGTCCAGGGAGCGGCCTGGCTGCAAGGTGTCCTGGAGCTGGGGTAATGGGTGCAGACACACCTGGCAGGTGTGGCCCAGGGACCCTGCCAGCCCTGCGCTGCACATCCCGCCCTGGACTGGGGACCCTGCGGCCGGCATGCTGAGAGAGACTAAGGTGCTTCCCAGGTTTGGCACTCAAGCTGCACAGGTGTGAAGAAAGGCCTTGTAGATTAAGGTGAATGCGGACGGACGCTGAAACACAGAACAGACGTGACTCAAGACACAAGGCAGGGCCATGAGGGGCTGGGCTGGTGGCCCTGGGACCAGGCGGTGTAGCTGCTGGCACCACACAGGCCTGCGAGTCTGCTCACCTCTTCACGGCGTTCTCACCGAGCCAGCGGCTCCTCCCCATGGCCGCCAGCTTGTAGGGGCACCGTGGGGGGATGGCAAGACAGACTGGAGGGGACAGGAGGCGGGTGGGGACGCACTCCACCTCTCTCCTGGGCCTCGGAGTCTGGGCAGCCGTGGGCTGGGAGTCCCCTCGCTGCTTCCTACAGACCCAGGGCCACGCCTTCCCTGGAAGAAGAGCCCACGGCAGAGGCACCGTGGGGAGGTGGACCCTTCCAGGAAGAGCCCAGGCTGTCCCGGGACTGCCCCAAGGCAGTGCCTGCCTGGCCAGCAAGGGCTGTTTCTCAGCATTCTCCTGCGTTTCCTCTGAAACGGCTCCAGACAGGTGCAGAGCCTGACCTGGAAAGGCAGGGGGACGAAGTGAGGAACACAGCGAAAACCCTTGGAGTCGGGTGGGGCTCGAGCTTTGGTGAGTTATTGCTTCTCTCAGTTGGTCTTGATGTTCTCGGAGGCTGCCGTCAGTGGAGCTCCCCAGTGAGGGGCCTGCTCCAGGCCCAGCTCCGTGCCGACGGAAGCAGAGGGCTCTGGGGTCTCCGCCGGCGGCCAGCGGAGCCAAGGCCTCCAAGCTGGTGATTTCTGTGCCGTGTGTGCTCGGGATGTGGCTGACGGGCCGTGTTTGCAAGAGCACCGCTCCCTCCTGGGGGCTGTCTTAGTTGCCTATTTAGTTATTTTCCTGTTGGTTTTAGTTCAGGAAGTAGCCGTGTGTTCATGTCGTGCTGGCAGAAAAGCTGACTGCAAGAGGGGACTTTCCTGCTGGAGCTGAACTGGGAGGAGGGGTGATAACAGTAACTTGTCTCTGACTCGATGCGTCTGCTGCTCGGGAGCTGAGCTGAGCAGACCTGCCTTGGAAGACCGTGGCGATACCGCCACTAATCAGGATCTGGTGAATGGTTAAGCTTTTCCCCCAAAGAGCTTCCAGCATCAAGTATAAAAGGATGATCTCGCGGGAAAGACTAAGCTGGTTTTAATGATACTGTGAGCTGCTTTCCCCCAGCACGTGGAGCAGAAGCTCTTACCTTACAGAGAAAACCTTACACAGACTCTAGCAAAACCCTAACCATTTACATTTCAGTCTGAATAAAGCACAGCTGTGGGAGTGCTCCAGACAGTGGCTGGTTGGTCTCTGCGCACGGCCTCGGGGACAGCTGGCTCGGAGGGCGCAGCCGACCTCCCGGGGAGCCCGGGCTGCGGTCCTTACAGTGTGTCCTTGGCCACCGCGTCCCTCTTCCTGAGGAGGTGGCTCCATTTCGAGATCCGTGAAGGGAAGGGAATAAAGTGCTCCTTTTAAAAATGACCAAAATAAATACAAACGTTTCATGGCAGAAAGGAAAGTCTTTGAAGGGTCGTTTGCAAAGTCCTCTTCCTCACATGGGCTCCTCGGGGGTCCCCACGCGGCTTCAGCAGAGTGGGCCCGCCCGTGGCCACGGTCAGCCCGGTCCGCCCCCAGGGCCCTGCTACATGGGCCGCCCGCCGTTGGCCGTGGCACGGTCCGGCAGCCCGTCGCCCGCGGCGGCCACGTCGTGCAGCCCCGAGTAGTCCTTGAGCTCGGCGTTGGTCAGCAGCAGGGGCTGCTCCCCGCGCCTGGGCGGCAGCAGGGGCTGGCGCGTGTAGTGCTCGCCGTCGGGGATGCTCTCGGGCAGGCTCTGGTCCCGGCTCTCAGGCAGCAGCAGCAGGCAGATGATACAGAGGAGCGTGCAGCAGGCGAAGATGACGTGGTGCAGGAAGTAGCCCTTCTGGTTGTGCAGCTCGATGATGGGCGCCGTCAGCATGCCGAAGCCCGCGCTGGCCAGCACCAGCCCCAGGCCGCCGCACCTGCAGGGAACGCACAGGTAGGCAGCGGGTCGGGCCCACAGGCACGGGGCCCCGGCACCAGCGCACGGCCAGCTCCCCCCAACCCCCTTCACCTCCTGCATCTGCTGCCCCTGCTATTCAGTGAACATTTTCCTCACCAGCCCAAAACTTCTTACTTCGTTCACTGTGAAAGGTGACTGTAATAAAATACCACTGTAAGGGGACAACCGGCCTCACTTGCCGTGAATAACGTAACATTTTGTTTCTCAATTTACGCTGTTTTTCCGAGGCTCGCTCTTCATTTAGAAGCGGGGAGGGTGGCTGGGGGTTAAAGAAGGCATTAAGGACACGTTGAGGTGGAGCGGAAAGACCCCCCCCCCCAGGTCGCCTCTTCCCGTGGGCACGCTGGACTCACAGTTGCACGTGGAGCAGCCATCGACAAAAAGGAGCAGAGCCTGCCAGAAAAGATCTACAGCTAAAGACACGGGAGGAGCCACAATGAGACAGGTGGGAGGAGCAGACGTGTGAGATGATCTAGGCTCGTGACCCCCACCGGGTGGGCGACCCACACACTGGAGAGCAGGCACGTCGCGGAGGTTCTCCCACAGGAGACAGTTCTGAGCCGCACGTTGGGCTCCGTAGCCCGTGGGTCCTATACCAGGAAAACGGCCCCCCAGGATGTGTGGCTTTGAAGGCCGAGGATGGGGGGTTTTCAGGGGTCCCAGAGGACTGGGGGAAACAAAGACTCCAGTGTTACAGGGAGTACACAAAATCCCACGTGCACTGGGACCAAGGGCTGGACTTGGGAGAGTCTATCGGATGGGCAAGGGGGCAACTGCAGCTCACCCTGGGGACATAGATGCTGGTGGCAGACATATTTGGGAGCTTTCTACCATGGGGACGCTGGTGCCGGCGACCACCGTCTTGGCTCATGAGCTCCGAGACCCAGTCCCACCCAACCGCTTGTAGGTGCCAGTGCTGGGACAACCAGCAGGGTGGGAACACAGCCCCACCCCTCGGCGGACAGGCTGCTTAGAGACTTCCTGAGTGCACAGCCGGCCACCTCTGGACGTGGCCCTGCCCACCAGAGGGCCAAGATTCCACTCCACCCACCAGCTGACAGGTGCCGGCCTCTGCTGCTAGGAAGCCTGCACGAGCCTCTAGACCAGTCTCGCCCACCACGGGGCAGAAACCAGAAGCAAGAAAACCACGATCCTGCAGCCTGCAGACCTCGGCTGCTCCCAGCTGGCCAGTGCAAGCTTCTGGACACCTCGGACCCCATACCCAACTGTGCTAGGAACTGGCCCCAGCCACCAGCGATCTTACGCCAGCTCTCTGGCACTCACCCCAGGACCTGGCTTCACCCACCAGTAGGGGGTCAACAGCTCCAGAGTCGCCTGGACCCTGATGTCACCCATCAGTGACCTGGCACTAGCCCCAGGGTCCCTGGGGATTCTGCAGTCAGCCGCCTCCTGACCAGGCCCCACCAACCAGTGGCCTCCACACAAGGCAGAGCTTGGCAGTCAACCAGACTGGGTGCCAACTAAGCCCACCAGACCACCCACATAGCCAGCCCTCCAAAACAGAAGGAACCACGCAGCCCTCACAGGGGGCACCCCTAGAGCATACAGCTCCGGTGATGAGGGGGGTGTGCTGCTGGGATGTATAATGTCTCGTATAATGTCTCCTACAGAGGGAGCCACTTCTGAGGTCGAGAAACATAACCTACCACATACATAATATACAAACAACAACTCAGACAAGACGAGGTGGCTCAGGAACATGCTGCAGACGAAGGAACAAAATAAACCCCCGGGAGAACAACTAAGTGAAGTGGAGATAGGCTCCAGTCTACCCAAGAAAGAGTCCAGAATAATGAAAGAACGCGGGAGAAGAACGGATGCACAGAGCAAGGAGTTAAAAGCTTTTAACAAAGAGTCAGAAAATATAAAGAACAACCATACAGAGATGAAGACTACAGTAACTGAAATGAAGGAGTCAGCAGCAGGTAAGTGATACAGAGGAATGGATCAGTGAGCTTAAGACAGAGCAGTGGGAGTCACTGCTACTGCTGAACAGAAGAAAGAATGAAAAGAAGTGAGGCCAGAGTAAGAGACTCTGGGACAACACCAAGCACACTTAATGCTTGCATTATAGAGGTCCCAGAAGGAGGAGAGAGAGCAAGGGGCACAGAACATATTTGAAGACATAACCACTGAGGACTTATTTAACCTGGGAATGGAAACAGACATCAAGGTCCAGGAAGCACAGAGGTCCCAAACAGGATCAACCCAAAGAGGACCACTCCAAGACTCACTGCAATTGAAATACCAAAAAATAAAAATAGAATATTAAAAGCAGCAAGAGAAAAGCAACAAATAACATACAAGGGAACTCCCGTAAGGCTATCAGCTGTTTTTTAGTGGAAACTGCAGGCCAGGAGGGAATGGCACGATCTACTTTAAATGATCAAGGGACAAAACCTACAACCAAGAATACTCTACTCAGCAAGGCTCTCGTTCCGATTTGATAGAGATCAAAGCTTTACAGACAAGCAAAACCTAAGAGTTCAGCACCACCAAACCAGCTCTACAGCAAACGTTAAAGGGACTTCTCTAAAAGAAAAATAAATAGCTATGACTAGAAACAAGAAAACTATGAAATGAAAAAAACTAAGTGGTAAGGGCAAACATATAGTAAAGGTAGGAAGTCATCCACAAACAAAGCTAGTGGGGGGGTTAAAAGACAGAAATGGTAAAATCATCTATATCCACAATAAGCAGTTAAGGGACGGACAGAACAGTTAGATGGAAAATACGATGTCAAAACAGTCATCGTGAAGGGAGAGAGGACAAGGCAGGCTTTCTTTGTTTTTGTTTCTTAAAATTTACTTTTGGCCGCATTGGGTCTTCGTTGCTGCACAGGCTTTCTCTAGTTGCAGTGAGCGGGGGCTATTCTTCGTTGCAGTGCACAGGCTCATTGTGGTGCGGAGCACGGGCTCTAGGCTTGTGGGCTCAGTAGTTGTGGTGCGAGGGCTTAGTTGCTCCGCGGCATGTGGGATCTTCCTGGACCAGGGCTCAAACCCGTGTCCCCTGCATTGGCAGACGGATTCCCAACCACTGCGCCACCAGGGAAGTCCCAAATGCAGAGTTTTAAAATTAAGAGATCAGCACCTTGAAACAGTCACATGTATACATAGACTGCTATATAAAAACCTCATGGCAACCACAAGTCAAAAATCTGTAATAGATACACCCATGAAAAAGGAATCCAAACGTAAAACTAAAGATAGTCATCAAATCACAAGAGAAGAAAACAAAAGAAGGGGGATAAAGACCTCCAAAATCAAATTCAAAACAATGAACAGAATGGCAGTCGGAACATACATATCGATCATTACCTTGAGTGTAAATGGACTTAGTGCTCCAACCAAGAGACACAGGCTCGCTGAATGAATACAAAAACAAGACCCATATATATACTGTCTACAAGAGACCCACTTCAGACCTAGGGACAGACACAGACTGAAAGTGAGCGAATGGAAAAAGATATTCCATGCAAATGGAAATCAAAAGAAAGCTGGAGTAGCAATACTCATATCAGACAAAATAGACTTTAAAATAAAGATGGTTACAAGAAACAAAGAAGAACACCACATTATGGATAAAATGATCAATGCAAAAAGAAGATATAACCATTGTAAATATGTATGCACCCAACACAGGAGCACCTCAAATATATAAGGCAAATGTTAACAGACACAGAGGGAGAAACTGACAGTAACACAATAATAGGGGACTTTAACAGCCCACTCACATCAACGGACAGATCATCCAGTAAGAAAACACCGAGACCAGATGCACTTAATTGATATATATAGAGAGAGAGCATTCCATTTGGAAGCAGCAAAGTGCACATTCCTTCCAGGTGCATATGGAACATTGTCCAGGACAGATCACATGCTAGGCCATAAAACAAGCCTCAGGAAATTTAATAAAACTGAGCTCATATCCGGCAGCTTTTCTGACCACAAAACTATGATACTAGAAGTCAACTACAAGAAAAGAACTGCAGGAAACACAAGCACATGGAGGCTAAACAATATGCAACTAAACAACCAGTGGATCACTGAAGAAATTAAAGAGGAAACAAAAAAATACCTAGACACAAATGAAAAAGAAAACAGAACAATTCAAAACCTATGGGACACAGCAAAAGCAGTTCTAAGAGGGAAGTTCACAGGGATACAAGCTTACCTCGGGAAATAAGAAAAATTTCAAATGAACAACCTAACCGTACTCCTAAAGGAACTAGAGAAAGAACAAACAAAACCCAGAGTTAGTAGAAGGTATGAAATCATAAAAGTCAGAGCAAAAATAAATGAAATAGAGACTAAAAAAACAATAGGAAAGATCAACGAAACTAAAAGCCGGTTCTTTGAAAGGCTAAACAAAATTGATAAACCTTTAGCCAGACTCATCAAGAAAAAAGGGGAGAGGGCCCAAATCAATGAAATCATAAATGATAAAAGAAGTTTCAACGGGCATACAAAGGACCGTAAGAGACTGCTGTGAACAAATAATAATAGTCGACCCAGAAGAAATGGGCAAAGCCTTAGGTACAACCTCCCAAGACTGAACCAGGAAGAAATAGAAAATATGAACAGATCAGTTACCAGTGATGAAACTGAATCAGTAATTTAAAAACTCCCAAAACACAAAAAAGTGCAGGACTAGATGGCTTCACAGGTGAATTCTACCAAACATTTAGAGAAGAGCTAACCCCTATCCTCCTCAAACTATTCCAAAAAAACTGCAGGGGAAGGAACACTTCCGAATTCATTCTATGAGGCCACCATCACCCTGATACCAAAACCAGACAAAAATATCACAAAGTTACAGGCTGCTGATTGATAACATAGATGCAAAAATCCTCAACACAACATTAGCAAACCAAATCCGACAACACATTAAAAGGATCATACACCACAATCAAGTGCGACTTATCCCAGGGATGCAAGG